GGTGGGTGCCCCGGCCCTGGAGACGGTCAAGGCCAGGCTGGAGGGGGCTCCGAGCAGCCCCCTCTGGGTGAAGATGGCCCCGCTCACGGCAGGACTGGACGATCTTTGAAGGTCCCTCCCAACCCAAACCCTTCCCTGATCCGCCGCAGCACCACCACAGATGCCGGAGTGCTCCCGGCCAGGCGGATAAGCCGGTCCCCGGCACGCCGATGCCTCGCCCGCGGCGCGTTCCTCACCTTCTCTTTCCTTTCGGGGGCCCTCTCACGAAGCACCAGTCCACGCTGATGGGCTGCCCCATCAGCTCCTGGCCGTTCAGCCCCTCCATGGCCGCCTGCGCCTCTTTATAGGTTTCGTACTCCACCAGAGTATATCCCTAAGGAGCGGGAGGGAGGGAGCATGAGCCGCGGCGGATCCCGGCAGGGCGGGAGGCCGGTGAGGGGCCGGACACGGGAATAAACCCTCCCCCAAGCCCTGTTCGATCCCGGCCTCCGCGGCAGAGCCAGGGAAAGGGAAGCACGAGCGTCTGTCGCGTCCAGCTGCTGCCACGCGGTGAGTTCAAACGCCCTGTAAGCCGAAATGGAGGCGGTGAAGCCGCCGAGAGGCTCGAGGGGCAACCGCGGGCGCGCGCAGCACCCCCTCCTACCTTCAGGTAGCCCGTCCGTCTGTCGAGGTTCAGGTGGATGTTTTTTATCTCGCCGTACTCCGCGAACTTGTCGTGGATGTCTTCTTCCGTCGCTTCCTCGTGAACCCCCGTGACGAAGAGAATCCAGCCCTCCACCGCTGCGGCGTGAAAGGGACCCGCGTTACCCCGAGCGCAGGGCGCGCTCCCACGTCAGCCGCGGGCTCTCGGGGAAGGGGACCCCCAAAAGCGGCGGCGAAGCACAGAGCGAGCCGTGCGCGGGTGGGAAGGGGAGATGCAGCCCCGGAGCCCAACGCTCTTGGCTCAGCCCGGGATAAATCCCAGCGAGGCAGGGAAAGGCTCTGCCCCAGCAAGGTCCGAACCCCGATACGGGGCCAAGGACCCCACGCTCCCCCACCATCTCCCCTCCCTCCGGTACGGCGCCCGCAGCGGGGGCCGGGAAGGTGCCGCCGGCGATACTCACACCTCTGCGGGCCCGGCTCATCCCCGTCCTGCTCCACGCTGTCGTAGTCCTCGCGCACGCGGGCCCGCGAGCCCTCCTCTGGGCACAGCGAAGAGGGGGAAAGAGAAATGGGCGACTGGTGCCGTCACCCAGGAGGACAACAGTGCCCAGAGAACCACAAACCCACTTAAACCCCCCCAAAAGCACGAAGCCGGCCGGGGTTTCGCACCAGGCCCCTCTCCAGGGGAAGCGTGTAACCCAAACTGGGAGAGCGAGGCCTGGAGGGATGGGGACGCCCCGGCGGGTGCTCCTCACCTGAGCCGAAGCCTCGGCCCTTCCGCTTCTTGGCTTTCTCCTTCAGCTTGTGGATGCTCTCTGCGGGCGAGAGGGGAGAGGGCTGGAACCGGGGAGGGGACCCGACCACGGCCCCGGGGCCGGGCAGGTCCCCCCCAGGCCGGGCTCGGTACTGACGCTTGTGGGGAGGGAGGGAACCGGCCCGGGACTGGCGGGGGGGG